CCCCAAAACCCCAAAACCCCAAAACCCCTAAAAATCCACTCACAGAAAATTATAAAACTTAAAGAAGAAATGGACAAACTTGGCCACCCAAGTGGAGCACAGCTTGAACAGAACAGAAGGCGAGTGGAGTACAAGAGACTAGGGATTTAAAATGGGTGAGGGAGTAAGAGTGAGCGGGTTATAGGTTAGAGAAGAAGGAGTTGGAGGAAGAACAGAAGATGCAGCAGAGGATATGAAGTGATGTGTATTGGAGTTTTAGTTTGATAGAGTTGCAAGGAGGGGAGTGTTGGGAGGAGTTGAGACACGTATTGAGGGATTGTTATTATGTGTTTGATTTTGATGTTTTGAGCAAGATAAGGTTGGTGAGGAAAATTAGGGGTTTTAAATTATTTGATGTCAAGAAAATGGATTGATTTAATGTTTCAAACAGAAATAAACGCTTTTTGAAGCTCTTATTGCCTCAATCTCCGAATAAAGTAGGGCAAATGTGATTTTATTTTAAAGATGTATCAAGATTAAATACTTCTCCTTATTTTGATTTAATAACTAAACTTAATTTGAGTTTTTGAAAAACAATATCAATCTCTTCTGCATCTATTAATCAAAGAAAATTACAAAGATTTATTAGTGCGTACAGGCACGTTGGAATAATTTTATTCTATAAATGCAGATTTTGCCTTCCTACTACTCCTGATTTCTCCAAAGCACTAAAAAACTCCAAAATTCAACAATTACATTTCATGCATCAAAAGCCATCAAACGGACAAGAATGGAAAGAAAACCCTACAGAATTCGAAAATCTCATCAGAGGACTCTCAACCTCCCCCGACCTCCACCAATCCCTCACCCAAATCAACCTCGCAGGCTCCTTCCCAACCCCTAAAATCCCCCAATCCATCCTCACCAAGCACCTCTTCTCCACCATAACCCTATCCCTCTAAGCCCCAATAGCCCACTTTTCAACCTATATTTCCCCCTAAGGGGTTTTGGGGTTTTGGGGTTTTGGGG